CTAACAACTAAATGATATAACTGCAGGGAGAAGGAATACTCAGAAAGCAGCGGCTCTTCCCCCACGCATCATACTGACCCCAAAGAAGTCACAAGTGAGGGTGGCAACCTGAATGAGACAGCGCTGGAGTCCAACCTCAACGGAAATCTCATCATGGGAAGCACTGCCAGCACTGCCAATGACAATGAGCATATCCTGGGTACCACCACAGCAGCCTTCGGAAACCAGCCAACTGTAGCTGTCGGGCAGAGAATAGAGGTTGCCCGGTACGCCAGCCAGGAGTGGCGAGGGAACACAGCCAAGGCACACACAATTAAACAGGTGAGACAAGGAGGATAGGAAAGAAGAAGTGAAAGAAAGAGAAGAGGGGAGATATAGAACAAGAATGTAAGCTAGAAAGTTTGCAACAGGAACAGTGAAGGGAAGGACAAGAAAACACACGAATATGCCGAAGGCCTTTTCGCTATTGCTGCGTCAGGGCATATCAGGGCATATATGCCCTGACGAAGCAATAGTGAAAAGGCTTTCGGCATATTCGTGTGTTTTCTTGCCCTTCCCTTCATTGTTCCTGTTGCAATCTGTTCACCATGAATTCCACACAAGCTAGAAAGTAAAAAAATATATTTTTGATACTGGTAAATATAATAATTGTTAAATATGGTAAGGACAGTAATAGTAAAGAGAGGATTCATTAGGATGAAATAATTCATTAAAAAAATTGTGATAATTATAAAAATGATAGTAATAATTATAAACATGATCATATGGATAATTATCATGATAATGATAAGTGATGGTGATAATAATAATAATAATGATAGAACAAGAATAATTAAGTTGGTATAATAGTAATAATGATGATGTTGATAATAATAATTTTAATATTTATAATAATGTGTTTATGGATCATGCACGTGCTACTCGAATAGGGAATTAATTTTCTCTTTGAAATAAAATAACGAGAACCTATTGTGAACATTCCTCCTCTTAACATTCTGTCCCTCCTTCCCCTCTCAGGGCTACTCAGCAATTCCAGTTGAGCTCAATTACCACTACCTGCGAAGAGTGCGTGGTGATAACTACTGTGGAGTTCGAGCAGCTCTCTATCAGATCCTTTCACAGGGCCTCCCTGTACCCAGTGGTCATGCTACCCACACACGTCTGGCAGCTGAACTCAATCAGGGTTCCACATGGCTTCGAGACTGGTCCTTTGGCCATCGTCTCAGCTTCTCAAAGGAGCAGGTCCTTAATGGCTTCTGGGAATGCCTGGATGCCCTAGACAGCATGGTAAGAATGGCAGGAAGAGGCAGGAGGGGGTGGAAGGGTCTCAGTAGCAATGCTCTAGAGTTGCACTGTCTCATGATTAGAAGTGCACTGATTGCAGGTTTTGTCTTGTGATATCCAAATCATTATGTTCATACAGTTCTTGTTCAGTCTATGTATTCTCCTTGTAGGTACTCAGCCTGAAAGGATGTGAGAACAGGGAATGTGTCGTCCTCTCACGCCTCAACAGTGATCCTCTTCTGGATGTGAAGCTCTGTGAGGCAGTGAAGCTGCACATGCTGGCAACTGCCCTAGACCTTCATATTGGAAATAATAATGGTGACAATGTCCCACTCTTTTCCATGATCATGTTTGCTCGGCACACATCTCTCACACCAAGAGATTTTGTGAAAAATCATCTAAATTTAGTGGGAGACACAGCTGGGCTGGAGCAGGTGAGTGCAGATTTTACTCTCAGTACCTTTTATTGATCTGTAACTTTAGAAATGTTTTGTATCATTTATATAGATCATAGGAAACGAAACTGTAATTAATTATTATCAAAGTCTTCAAATATTATGCTTAGTTAACATGAGGTAATGGTTTTCATATCAGTTGAAAGAGCTAGGATCTGTTTCTTAAATGAGCCTTATACCCCTTTGTCCATCGACTGTGCTCATGTGGACACTCCTTAAGTAATATTGAATAAGCTAATATTTGTTTATCATATCATCTTTGCTGCCCTCACCAACCAGGATCAACACAAGGTGTGTCATTGTTAAGGTTTACACTGCTTCTTGCATATCAGGTTTCTTCTGAACGGAGAAAATTCTATGCATTAATGACACTCATGCCATCATACTTTCTCACTGCTTTATTGCTTTTAGCTTGTCTGTGTCTCTATTTCGCCACACATGTAGGTACTTGTGTGTGTGTGTGTGTGTGTGTGTGTGTGTGTGTGTGTGTGTGTGTGTGTGGTGTGTGTGTGTGTGTGTGGTGTGTGTGGTGTGTATGTGTGTGTATTTAAATACGCACACACGCACAACACACACACACAACACACACACACACACACACACACAACACACACCACACACACACACACACACACACACACACAACACCACACACACACATGAAGGTGTATATATATGCATCTACATATATATACATATATATGTATTATATGTATATATATGTATATATATGTATATATATGTATGTATATATGTTTATATGTGTATATATATGTATATATATAATATATATATATATATTATATATATTATTATATATATATATATATATGCAATCATGTCCAGACACATGCACACACACAGATATGCATGAGCTTCATAAATTCTGATGACCATGAAAATAAATTGCATTTTTAAGTGGAGAAACTGCATCTTGAGATGAGTGAGATAAATGGATCAGATATTTTGGTAAAAGTATTTTTTATCCAATTGTGATCATCATAATTTGTTTATCATGGTTATAGGGGATGACATGGTCATTGTCTTGTCCTTTTAGAAAATACACATTTGATATGAAAAGTAATCAACAGAATATTTTGTATTGTACTTTTCTTTCAACAGATTGAGATGTTCCTTATGGGGCATACTCTGGGTGTCACTCTCCAGGTGGTGAGGCCAGCATGCTATGGCAAAGACGACTTCATATGCTACTACCCAGATGCCAACATAGGTGTCTGGCCTGAGGTCACTCTGGTGGCAGAAGACGACCGGCATTACAATGTTCTAATAAAGTGAAAGGTGAGTCGAAAGGCTTGTGTTGATACAATTAACAATCAAAGATGCAGTGGGCATTGCGTACGGTATAGGACATGTTGTGTTGTAATTTTTTTTGGAATTTAAAGAAAACCTTTCAGGATTTAAATTGAATCAAAATGTAAATTAACCCATCATCACCGGGAAAGTATTTTGTTCACTGTAGTATTGTTTTGCGAAATTTCTCTGTACATAAATAGCGCTTAGCCATAAAGGAGTTAATTAGTAGACCATATGATCTCACCTGATTTCAGCTTTCTTTGAGTTTGCGTGGAAAATTTGCTTTTAATAATACAAACAATGTCAAGGCTGTAATCTTCATTATAGATATTATGATTACACACACACACACACAACCACCACAACACACACACAACACACACACACACACACACACACACACACACACACACACACAACACACACACACACAAATATGATATATATATATGAATATGTATTATATATGTATCTCATATATATGTATGTTTACTGATAAATAGGTTGATATAGAAGTTTAGATATTTATTAGTTTATATTGCTTTGCAGATGTCTGAAGGATGAAAGTGGAGAAGCAGAAGATGCAAGCACACCAAGCGAAGGTGCTGTTATGTCCTGCCGTTTGATTGTGTGCTGTAAAGAGGAGTCACGTTGCCTCTAATTTTTTTTTTTTTTTTTTTAGGGGGGCCCTTTTTTTTTTACTGTCAATCTAGTGTGTAAAATGGGCAAACATGTTGAAGAAAAGGAAACTTTTGGCAATAATGTGCGTACTGAGGTTGGGCCAGGGCACTCAACCTCAAGGCATCAAGAGAGTTAACTGTGAATGATTGAGTTCTGTCACTGGTAGTATGTATGGAATTAATATGTGAAGCCGTAAGTGACTCACAGTTAATTGTCTTTTGGAAGTGCTTCTTTTGGTACAAAATTAAGAGGTGTTCGAAAGCTAGCTCCTTGTCAGAGATGTACACCCAGCCTTTCACTTGGGAAAATTAATGAAAATTGGTTGTAAATAGAAAATTATTTTAGGCAATAAGGGAAAAAAAAACATAGGAAGAAAATTATTTTATTTATTTATATATATATTGGTGTATTTATTTATTTATTTCCTTTGGGTGCTGCAGCTGAATTATTGATATTTAGCTTTCAAAATATATCCGAGTGTTTTTGATGGGTGCGAGTAGGTTAAAATGTATATAGAGTTTGTTAGCCGTTTCTTGATTCACCTAGAGAATTGTGTATATAATAACTGTATATAACCTGTGATCGTTATCTCATTGGTTATGTTGTAAAGCAGGTAGGCTAGAGCAATCGTAAAATGATCTGATCAAAATTACTGCATGTAACATATGCCACAGTGATATATGTCAAAATGGTAACTTTGCATTGTTAAGTGTTACCAATAGAAGAGTTAGAATCATGACATTCTAGCATAGTCTGTATAGTAAACTCCAGCTTCAAATATTAATGGCAAAACAATGATGATTTAATTCCCTCGAGGGAGTCAGCATTACCACAGCCAAATGATTCTCAAATGGACCTAAGAAAGCATGCCAATTTTGTCTCTTGTCATATGAATATGCCTTGATAGTGTGATACGACGTGTGTATGATGAGTTATTGTCTTCCATTGATTTCCTGGATTTGTTGTATATATGTTTTAATGTCTTCATCATTCTTTGCCTAAGTAGCTTTATCAGGTTATGGAGTTGATGTCAGTGTTTTGTATAATCTAATCTATTACAGGAGACAAAATTGTGTGCATGTGTGCTTAAGTCATAAACTTAATAATATGCAGCAAATCTGACCAGAGTAGTATGTAGGAGTGGGGGTGCCAGGCACTCGCCAAGGAAGTTCCCCTTTCTGCTCTCGCCCAAATTGTAGCTAAAACTTAAGAGACACCAGAAACCAAGTTAAGGTTCCTTCACATCAGTTTATCATTTTGTACTTATTTGTTTTTAAGTGTCTTCAAGGCTTTGGATGCATAAATTCCAGATGATAAAATCTGAATCTGAAGACGCCATTCCTGTCCTCTACTTGTGGTTGTCGAGGTTCTGGCATCCCTAAGTCCAGGCTCACTGCCCTGCAGCTGCACTATCATCAGCAGCACTCATCTTGAGCACACTGCACAAAACAGCAACAACAGTTGATGCAGTATATGCATAAATAATACAGTGTGTGTGTGTGTGTGTGTGTGTGTGTGTGTGTGTGTGTGTGTGTGTGTGTGTGTGTGTGTGTGTGTGTGGTGTGTGTGTGTGTGTCTATATATATTTTGAGTGTATGTATGTATGTAAGCATATATGTGCATATGAGTGATGGAAGCACACAGAACACACACACACACACACACACACACACACACACACACACACACACACACACACACACACACACACACACACACACACACACACACACACACACACACAGTGTGAATGCAGGTGTAGGTATGTGTGTATGTGGGTATGGGTGTATGTTAGTGTGTGTGTATATACTAACACATGCATGTAAATATATTTATAAACACACATACCAATATGTATTTTGAAATATGGTACAGATGAAAGTATACTGTTATGAAGTTCATGTGATATGTGATTCTGTGTTGTGTGTGGGGCGAGTATCTAAAACATTAGTCTGGCAAACCACAAAGCTTTGAGAGGTTTCAGGTGCTTTAAGATTACAAATGCAAGACACAATAATGGTTAAATATGTGACTGTCACACACACAAAAAGTGTATATTTTCATTGTATATATTATCAGATTCTGATATCATAGACATTGTAGATTACTATTTTTGTTGCAAATGTCTGCTTGCATCTACTTTCACTTGTAAAAGAGTTTGGAGACCAGCTCATTGTGATAGTACTTGTCTGAAATGATCCTACACAAAGGCAATATTCAAGATATTCAAGAAATTTCAGAAGAACATCACATATGTTGCTTCTTTCCATGCAAAGTCTTTTTACTTTGTATTTTTTGGTTAAGACGCAATCTTGTTTTCTATGATTTGATTATCACTTGCCTTGTTGTGAATTTGCAAGTGAAAAGATTTTGATAGTTTGACATGAGTCCATGCTTTCCTTCCTTTTGCTGTTGTAGGAAAGCTGAGTTTACTTCTATGTCTCAGAATTGTTACTTGTTAAAACTGAAAACAATTTTTAGATTTTCTTATAATGCTTTTTACATCATCATTCACTTATTCACCTTTTAGGGATTCTTTCTGCAGCATGCTAAAGCACAAAAGAAACTCCAGTATCTGAAGTGATGCACAGTATATGCAGTCTTCACATTTTGTAACTCGAGTCATGGATGATCTAGCTCTGTTGCTGAGTCATGGTTTCTGAGATCAAAGCTGCTCCACACTAAGACTTTTCCAGTTCAGTTTCAAACCAAATGCTTTTTTACTTGTTAGTCACACTATGTCTCACAGTTAGCCTGTTACGAAGAAATAAGAATAAAAATCACACCGGTGCCTAGGCTTTACATGTTAACTCCTCAGAGGCAGTGAGGTCAGGATGTCCTGTGGGCTTTGTTATGCTTCACGGGAGGACGAGATTCCTTTAGTTCTCCCTTGACTGAACCAAGCTGGAAAAGTGTCAGTGTGATGCTCTTTTTAGGTGCAAGGACTTCTTTAATTATTTAATTCATTCATTGACATATTTGCAGTTATTAAAGGTCTGATGAGATCAGGTGGTGTCTTTTAACAAGAAAAATAAAATAAAATAAAAAACATGAACCTTATATCCCAGTTTACAGAGCATGAAAGGTTAGCTTTAACAACCAAGAAAACACACTTGGATTTAATTTTTTTAAGAGATAACTAATGCTGCTGATTATTATGCAATGGTAATGTTAATGCATTAGTAACTGCCCCATGGGAAAGGTAAATAATTTACTGTTAAAACAGAATAGGAAAAGCAAGCATGAACTTGACATATTACCCTGTACTGGTGATGCTCAAGGACTTTATGGCACATGAATGTTCAATATGTTGAAGCTGGATGTTAATTTTTTAAGTCAAATATAATGCAGGTAAAGGGGTCAATAATACAGTTTTTATTTTCATATACGACACAGAAGGAATATCATATATACAAATGCTGTCTGTTAATTCTAACTGGTGTTGTCACGTAGGTTCGTCTCCAGCATTGTTTTAAACAGGTCTGAAGCTAGGCTCAGCCTAGTGATAGCTCTGTACAAGGTTATTGCAGGAGTAGAACAAAGTGAGTTTATTTTCCAGAAACTGTCTTTTATTACTCCTTTTATTATTACATTAAGAAATCCTTTTTTTAACCTTTTGGCTGATAAAATGCAATTTCAAGAAAAAATGCAAAATAAAATCAAGAGCAGCAGTTCAGTTAAATAGCTAATAGCACAAAAACTGTAAATACTCAAATTTAAGTTTATTAGCATTTGAAAATCATTCCAGATTTTAATGATAAATAAGAATTCAATATTTGGTATGTGGAGTGTGCGACTCAAAAGCATACTGGCTTAGATTTTTGACTTGCATGATTACCACTTAAAAAAGGAAGCTAAAAATGTGTTCATTTCTGACACACCCTGATGGTGATGAGATCCTTGATACTACTATATAAATCAATATGTATACTTAAAAGAAAGAAAGAAAAAAATAAATAATAAAAATATAATAAATAAATAAACAATAAAAAAATAATCTCGAAATGGCTAGTATACCACATGGGTTGCCTGGTATTTTGTTTAATAACCCCACAAAAATAAGACTACTCTAGATGTGGAATGGAGAAAATGAGTTAATAATACAGTGGACAAGAAGCAAGTTAGTTAATTTTGAAAATTATAATATATATATATATATATATATATATATATATATATATATATATATATATATATATATATATATATATATATATATATATAATTCTTCTAATCTATATATATACATACATATCGACTGCAGGACATAGGCCTCCCTCAATTTTTTCCAACTTTTCCTGTGTGTGTATATGATATAATTATATTCCAAGAAAGTAACACCCTCTTACAATAATAAATCAGTTCAAAATTTATTTCTTTTAAACTGTTCATTGGGAGATACCGAGACCATGTTAGCACGGCGCTCTAACCAACTGACCGATAACTTGTCTTCAACTGGGTAGACCTCACTTAACAGTCAACACCTCATTCTATAAATTACCTGAAAGTTCCGATTTATTATCATACCTCTTATTTTCCCTTACTGATATTCGGAATCAAAACGCGAATGATTCACACTGGACATTAGTTTAGCTCGTGTGACAAGAAAATCATAACTGTTCTTATTATATTGACAATCAAGAGTTCACGTAATATAGATTCGTCCAATACTCGATTTGCTGTGATGTCGAACGTAAATCAGATTTAAATAAGGAAATTCATGAACAGAAGAGTAATTGACAAATTCTAACGCTCTTTCCCCATCATAGTATCATCTGGTGCGATACATTTAACGCACGAATCCAGGGGTTCATTTTGAGCTCAGGGGGACCAGGGCATGTCGATCTCGAGGGCCCCTCAGCATAATAAGAATGAATTATAATACAAATTATGGATTCCCTTTCCTAGAATAAATAACTTTTATGATTTCTTGAAGTTCGTGTTAATGTATAGCTAATAAAGGTACTGTGCAGACAAGTATTTACAAGCACATGGAAACATATATTTATCATATAGAAAACAACTGGTACAGTGTAACGAGCGCTGCAGTGAATGGAGTCCACCCATTAGAGGAAGCAAAACAAGCCCGCACTGTCTTGGAAGAGGCGGGAATTACCCACATACATACCCCTCGTTCTGCCAAGACACGGCAGAGAGAGAGAGAGAGAGAGAGAGAGAGAGAGAGAGAGAGAGAGAGAGAGAGAGAGAGAGAGAGAGAGAGAGAGAGAGAGAGAGAGAGAGATGAGAGAGAGAGAGAGGAGAGAGAGAGAGAGAGAGAGAGAGAGAGAGAGAGAGAGAGAGAGAGAGAGAGAGAGAGAGAGAGAGAGAGAGAGAGAGAGAGAGAGAGAGAGAGAGAGAGAGAGCGAGAGCGAGAGCGAGCAGTAAGGCGATTTCTACTACTTCCACTGTTGCCAACTCCTGTCCCTTTTTTTTTTTTTTTTTTTTTTTAGATTTGCCAGGTTAAGACTGTTACTGAAAAATAGTGTAGCATATCCGAGATAGATGAGAATTGGAATGAAGAGAGAGGAATAGTAGAGAGTTGGATAAGTTTGCCAGTGAGGTCTATCAAAGCACCATCGTGGGGGATTAAAAAGCGAGATATATGAAGTAGGAGAAAGGAGGATTGGAAAATGGTCACTATGGGGAAGGTGGTCTAGAACTGACCAATGGAAGTCTAAATAAAGAGAGGGGGAGCATAGAGAGGGTCAAGGCTTGAAATAGGATGAGGTATGTTGGGAAGGAGTAGAGGGAAGGGGTGTAGGGGAAATATGAGGAGGGGAAGGATGGATGGCAGCAGTTGCTCTGATTGTAGACATAGTGTGGGCAGGGAAGGAGGATGGTTGACAGAGAGAAGTATTTTCTTGGGTCATGCTTAGGAAGTCTCGGATGTCTTCAAGGGTTTCTGGAGGCGAGTTGTGTGGGGAGGTTTGGGAAATGAAGGACTTTTCTATGAGGTGAAGAGTAGGTTGGTATTTGAGGAGTAGAAAATGTAGTTGTAAGTGTGGATGTGGAGGGTGAAGATGGGGTGGAACGGCATAGAGAAGGTTCTGGAGTATCTGGATTCAGAATATAAAAAGGATTTGATTGAGAGCTAGGAGTAGAAGTGAGGAGTGGAGAGAAAGAGGTACTGTTGAAGATGTAGAGACAGTTTGGCTAGAGGGGAGAGGAGTAGAGCAATGGATAGAGTTGGAGTTGGGACTGATAGAAAAACCTCGTCGGCGTGTTTCTTGCCTGGCCTCTCATAGAGTAAGACCAATTTTGCATCT